CCCCGCCCCGCACCCCGCCCGGCCGCCGCCGCCGCGAATCCCTCCGCGCGGACCCCGGCAGGTTCGCATCCCGGCGCCCGCTGCTTGCCCTCTCTAGGTCCCGCACGCAAACCTCTCAGCGCCTTCCCGGGAACAGAGATATTCGGGGCCCGCTCGGGTGTCTAACTGCCCATGACGTGACGAGGGGTGAGGGACTATCTCTTTACGCGGAGGTGCATCACCCTTGGAAGCAGTTAAAGTGACGAAAGCAAAGAAGGACCGTGAGGTGGAAGGAAAAGGCTAAGCGGTCATGGCCAATAGGAGGGCGCAACGGAATGATCGGCGTGGGGCAGAGCCATTTGCGATGAGGCTCTGCCCCTGCTCCGCCCCTATTGAGCAGCTTCATGAAGGGGCGGGACTCTACGAGCGAGAGTCCGCGAGAAACGGTGGGGGTGGAAGTGGGCTTTAGGATCTTATTCTCAGGTTTGCGTGGCCGCCCGAGCGGTAACTTACCTCCGTTGTGTTTGAGTTTCTAGGACTATATACACTGGTGCTGCATTTTGCCAACGTGCATTTCTGATCCATCCCTTCACCCCTGCGCCTTGAAGGGCAGTCAGACCCACTTTTCAGGCGAGAAAAACCGACGCACTCCCTGCCCCGGGATTAAAGGGCCCCACGTGGAAGCCAAGGCTTCCTTTGACTTATCTTTGCCTTTTTGGTCTCAGTTTCCTCATCTGTTAAATGGAATTTAGGCCTGAGGTCACTCAGCCTGATTTAGACAGGACCAGCCAGACTGGGCAGAAGTGCCCAGCGGGCCTTTGGCAGGTCAGTTGCCTGTGTCACAAGTTCCCTCTTAACGACAAAGGGCCCCTTAGACTTAAGAGCCATAGACCCCACAGAAACAACAGTGAAGGAGAAAAAAGCACGGCCTTCTTAGGTTCTAGGGTCCCCGTTGGGAAGAGACCTCGGTGTTCTGGAACCTTCCAGACCTTTGCTCTCATTCTGCCCACCCTCAATGCCACTCCTCACTGATGATCAGAAAAATGGGGTGTCCTGGGAGGACAGGAGAGATCTAGAGGGAGAGGTTGGGCCTCCCCTCTCCCCACCCGCCCCCCATTACCAGCAGCGTCCCTCCTGTTCTGTCTGTGAGGCTCTGTTATCGGGGTAAATTTCCAGACACTTCCAGATCTCATTTTGCCTGTCAGGGAAATAGAGTGCATTGAGGAGAGGGGTGCCTCTCTCCACATAAGGTCCTGGGCCTTTGAAAGCAGCCCCACCCACACACCCCAGCCTTCCTCTTGGCCTCACCCTGACCTCTAGATCTGGGGTGTCTGGTCCCATACAGCTCCTTGCAGACTTGGGGTGTCTGAAAGCCCAAGTTGGTGCTGAGAACTCCTCACGTCCCCAACTTCACTCTGGGCACAGCCCCAGGGAGTCCTGACTCCTAATTTTTTTTTTCTTGGAGATCTATGTACTAAAATCCCTTCCAGTATTTCTAAAGTAGCCTTGACGTGCCCACTAGTGGCCAGGAAGCGCCTTCGGTGGGGCCAAGCAGTGACAATGTGCTGGGCTGGGCCTGTGAGGTGAGGGTGAGACGACAGGAGTGGGCCCAGCATCCCTTGCCATTCCGAAGTTGGTTCTCCAGCTGTGTGCATTTTCAGGGCAGGATGAAGGTCAAGTTCATGATGACACTGTGGAGGAGCTTGTGCCTTCCTGGGGTCCTCCATTCTCAGCTGGCGCCAGAACTTACTGCAATGGGCACACGGCGCTCAGATACTCCCAGTCAGGGAGTTTAAGGGGAAGAAAGAGCTTGGAGCTCAGTCCCACACTCAGGTCTTCAAGCCTCCCTCCTTAAAACTGTAAAGGGGTCCTGGGCAGCAGATTCTCTCACTGTGACCTGCAGTTTGGTGTCTTGACTGCTACTCCCATGTCTGTCACGATGGATTCTGTCCACAGTTTTAAAGGAGCCGGAAGAATCAGTGACTGACATTCTGAGCCGACCTCATAGCTGACCCCTCGAGGATTTTGGAGGCTGTAAATCACATAGGAGGAGATGACAGATCTTTCTCCTTTGGAGCCTCTGGTGGATTTGAACTGTCAGAGCAGCACCCACCAGGTTGGACCGCGTGGATGATTTAGTACAGGCCTGGCTGTCATCTCCTTGTGCCCAAGTGACTAGATCCATTGTACAGGTGAGAAGACTGAGGGTCAGAGAGGTCCAGGCTGGGCTTGCACCTGTCGTGGGCCCTCCCAGCTCCCACAGGCCACTGTTGGCTTCCCGAAGGAGGCCTTGCTTGGGGATGAGTCACTGGGCGGTGCTGTCCACGGGGGGCCCGCTGAGCTGCCAACTCTGCCTGGCCCTGAAATCTGGGTGTGCCCTCCAGGGCCCTGGCAAGGGGACAGGATGCCAGTGGCTGGTGCCAGGGGCCCCTCAGGGGCAGCCCACAGCTCACCCGCCCCCGCCCGCCTGACAGCGGCCTTTGTCTTCTTTGGGTGCCCCAAGGAACCTGCCACGGAGCCAGCCTCTGCCTCCCAGGCTACTCCCCGCCAAGAGCCAGGCCCTGGGCTGCTTTGTCTTTGCACTAGAGCCCACCTGCTGTCTGAAGGGCCAGGCCAGGGAGCCAAAGGAAGGGCAGGAAGCCCACGCCCACCGGTACAGGCTGAACGTGGGGGAGCAATGCCCTAAGCTCTTGGCTGCTAAGGGTTTGAGCCCACCCAGCACTCCCTCCGCAGGTGGGAAGCCTGGCTGTCTGTACCATCAAGGTTGTCAGGGGTCACCGCCGACTGAGCCCCACATGTGACAGGGCAGAAGCTGGCTCCATCCTAAGACAGCCTCACAGCCTCGCCCCAGGCCCAGGGCTGGCATTGCTCTGTCATTCCATCTCCTTGAGGGGTTTCCTCCCCTCACTGACTCTACCAAACACGACGTCTGTTCCAGGGGCCGTGGGGTCGAGGTCTCACCATCCTTGCCTCTGAGGA